AAGTGTCTATGTGTTGTTCTAGATAGTGTTCTGTGTTTTACTGCTCTACAATTTAATATCCAGAACCCACAGACAAAAAATTCATGATTAAAGGATTTATTAAGGAAGTAACAGGCCAGTGGGAAATGCTCAGGATAGTTGTGTATCAGTTCATGTCACAAAGCTCTTTCAGGGCTGCTAATAAATTCCCGGAGCCTAGCACTCTCCTGGAAGCCTCAACCAGAGGCATTCAGCTCAAGCTCAGTGAGTCAACAAACCCAGCTTCTCCAGTTAAGTGCCCACAGGCACCCCCCTCCAGTAAGCCTTAGCCCAGAGGCACCCTCTTCCACAAGCTAGCCCCTGCACAAAAACACACAGCTTCACTTGCTCTGTGGGTTGAGAAGTCCACCATTCTTCAAGCTCTGTCTTCTGGTTCTGCTGCGCCTCTGATGTTCCACCTGTCCTCTGGATCAAGGTCGTTCATTGCACAGGAATCTCCGAGGGTCCAGAGGACACACTCCATTCCTAGCATTTGCCGGTAATGAGATCCCTCTTCCTGCTTCTCAGAGGGCTCATTTTGTACACAGCAGGATGACATTCCAGGGAAGCCTGTTCACAATTACTCACAGGTGAATACTATCAGTATCTTCCTCCGCCTTCTTACCAGACCCATGGGTCATTAAGTGGGACTATAGTTGTTTAGAGACGGACTGGAAGAGCCACATGAAATAACTCACTGTACCTGCAATCTATTTAAATACTTTGGTCTGCACAAGCATTTCTTTGCAAATTAAGATTAGAATTGAACATTTGCTTGAATGTGAAGCTACAAGTGTTGCATGAATTGGTGAAGACAAGACAGTTCTGTAACTGAGGTATACGGTTAGATTTATTGTTTGTAAAATGTTGTGGGGATGTGTTTCCATATATGTGTTCCCAATCAGATTCACACGGGTCCCAATCGGTGATTAATGGAACCACCTTAGTTTTCAACCATGAAGAAACTGAGGTTCTTATAAGTATAGAGACGTGTGCAGGAGTAAGTTCTCCCAAAAGGCCACTTGCTCTATGAGTTGTTGTTGTTACTAGTTTTAATGTAGAGGCCACAGTATCTATGACTTGCTATTTGCAGAATTAAAAGGCCTTGTTTTTTCATTAAGAAAGTTGTCGTATGATTACTTTACAGTAACACAACATTCCATCATTCAGAAAATATTCTTCGACCCTAATATACCAGAACAGTATTTTTAAAGAAATTCTAGGAAGGGTGTTAACACATTCAGGGTTCTGCAGGAAGCAAGGCTCTTTCCTACTGTTTTTTAATATAACTTTCACTGACAAGATCAGGCCCGGAAAAGCCTAGCTGGCTGTTGGCCCGGACAATGTTAAAGTGTACTCAACCTCCGCTGCCCGGGTATAGCAACAGTTCAAAAAAGGAAAACACAGGCCACATGCTGAGCATTGTTCCAGTGTCTTAGATGGCGTGTATACTCTCTGACCTTTTCTGTGATGTTCTTTCAAATATTAGAACGGAAATTTTAAAATAGCCTAGAATTTGAGTTTTCCCAGCAGAGTATAAAGGATAACTTCAACTTAAAAAAGAAGACGGGAGGAGGGGGAATCACATTATTCACTGTTGTATTCCCAGCAACTAAAATCGTTTTTGTTGAAATTATTCCTTTATTTGTCTTGTGTCATTTTCAGAACAAGAATTGTTTTCCTTTGTTAATTGATAATGAGAATCATATTGTACTGGCAGGAGAGGTGAATTTAAAAAGATGAATTAGTACTCAGAGACATTCTTTCTATTTCAGTCCAGTTTCTGAAGTTTTTATTTATCTTATGCTTAATGTTCTTTGTCTTAATGAAGGTATATTATCTAATTGATAATATTATGAAAATATTAAATGAGATAGAGTATGTAAACATTGCTGTAGACAGTCTTAAGGCACAGTCAGAGTCCAAGAGTAGGTCATTATGTGAAAATCACCATTTTGTGAAAGTAGAGGAGGACTACATTAGATCCCAGAAGTGGGGTGACTGCTACATCACTGAATGACTGCCAAACCGCTGAGTCATGGCCCAGCCAAGGTGATACATCACTTTAACCCTCAAAGCCAGTGTTATTTGCACCTTGCATCTATCTTGGCATTTGGTTCTGCCAATCATCATTAGTGTACAAAATCAATCGTAGATTTTTTTTTAACTACTGTCATAAATGTGAAGTCTCAAATAATGCTATAGTCTCCAAATGAGGAATAATTATATAAATATTAATTTTGTCTTAGGAAACATTTTTAATGATTTGAAAGTATATGATCACTAAATTATTCTAATTTCCTGACTCCTCTATAGTGATTGAAATGGAGTTTTGAATTCTTTTATGAAGTGTATTTCAAGGAAGCTGATCATATATCATTTTTAGCAAAGTAGTATTAAGTGTGGACAATAATCTACAAATAATGAGAACATTCCTTTTTAAACAGGGAAAAGTCTTCCCTGTGTAATTTTCTTAATTAACTTAATTGACTTTTGGCTTGCTAATTTGTACATAATTTAAAATATTTGGTAGTACACAGGCAGTGAATTGTTTCATGTGGCTCCTGTAGCCAGTCTCTCACTCCCAACAAAACACCTTCTTTCCCTGCATGGGTCTGATAAGAAGGGGGAGGAGGATACAATAGGAATCCCCTGTGAGTAAGTTTGAAAGGGAGTCCCTGGAATACCATCCTGCTGTGTGTAAAATGAGCCCTCTAAGAATCAGAAAAAAGGATCTCACTAGCAGGAGTGGTGTGTGCCCTCTGGACCCAAGATCCCAGTGGAGTGAACTTGGATCCAGAAGACAATGTATAGCATCAGAGGGGCAGCAGAACCAGAAGCCAGAGCATGGAAGAATAGTAGATTTCCCAACCTATAGAGCAAGTGAAGCAGTGTTTTTGTGCAGGGGGCTGGCTTGTGGAGCGGGGTGCCACTGGGCACGTAATTGGAGAGGCTGAGCTTGCTTACCCACAGAAGTAGAACTGCCTTCGGGTTGAGGCTTCTAGCAGAGTGGTATGCTCTGTTGGGCATTTATTAGCCGACCTAAAAGAACTTTGTAAGCATCTATCCTGAGCATTTCTACTAGCATTGCAACCTGTTAACTTCCTTAATAAAACCTTATTCAATCATGAATTTTGCCTGTGTGTTCTGGGTAGCCGTTGCAATAGATATTAGGTACTAGCTACAGAGATAAAATAAAGAACATTAATTAAAAGAGCACACGTAGATATTATGTCCCAAGCGTCATAGCATGGGAAAGTGGAGTAGTAGCTTATGAGAAAGTCCATGAGATACAATTTCTAGTATACCAGTTTTAATTGTTTCTGCCCTGTGTTTCCCAATCATGTTTAACTAGAAAACTACTTTTCTTGTGGCATCTGTTAACAATCCATGGAATATTTTTTAAAACTGGTGTGAAATACAGCAATAATGACTACATGGCCTTTTATTTAAAGAGTTGTTTATGATATTGAAATGGTATGGTACCTGTTACCCATGTTCATGGCCGCATTATAGAAACTCATCTGTTCAGTTCCTTATTGACCTTTCTTATGTTCCAAACTGCTGTTTGTAAGAGGATAGTATTTTCAGATAGAAAAGACCTGAAAATATTTTCAGACTTCTTTAAGTGTACTGATCTGTTAATATTGAGAGCCTAACTAATGTATGTTATTACTCTTTTGACTTATTCCAGTCAACTTTATTGAAGTGTAACTTACATAAAATAAAATGTGTCAACTTAAAATGTAAAATTCAGTTAATGTAGATATTTAAACCTCTGTGAGCTGGATCACTTCTGTAAGAATGGTACAGAGCAGCCCTTTACTAATGAAAGAATTCTTTGCCCTTTTGAAGTTCCCTGTGCCTCCAGGCCCAAGGAACCAGTGGTTTGCTCTTTGCCACTCTAGACTAGTATTAGTTTTTCAGTATTTTATTTGTCCATTTATGTTTACAATTTTTTCACTATTGTAATTAAAGCTATGAGCATCCATGTGCAAATCATTGTGAGAATGTTTGCATTTCTCTTGGTAAACACATAGAAGTGTAATGGTTGGGTTGTTGTAGTAGAGTACGTTTAAGTTTTGGGGGGGTTTGTTTTTGTTTTTTAATTTTATTAGGGGCTCATACAACTCTTATCACAATCCATACACACATCAATTGTGTAAAGCACGTGTACATTCATTGCCCTCATCGTTCTCAAAACATCCGCTCTCCACTTACGCCCCTGGCATCAGCTTTTCATTTTTCCCCTCCCTCATGAACCCTTGATAATTTATAAATCATTATTTTTACCACATCTTGCACCGTCCGATGTCTCCCCTCACCCACTCCTCTGTTGTCCGTCCTCCGGGGAGGAGGTTACATGTAGATCCTTGCGATCGGTTCCCCCTTTTCAATCCACCCTCCTGGTATCACCATATGTTTAACTTTTTAAATTATTATCAATTAGCTTTCTGAAATGGTTATACTGTTTTATATTTTCATCAACAATCAGTTTCTGTTGCCCATATACTTCACATTTAGTATTGTCAGTATTTGTCATGTCACTCAATTTGGGGATAATATTTTAGTATCTCGTTGTGACGTAAATTTTCACTCATCTGATGGCTGATACTATTGAGCATCGTTTCATGTACTTGCCCTTCAACTTTCTTTGTAAGATGTCTGTTCAGATTTAGATTTTTATCCCATATGCCAGTGAATTGTTTATTTTATGTTTGATACAGTCTTTTTAGGTGACATCAATGTTTTTTCTTACCTGCCTTGTCTTTGCAGGTTCTTAATGGTAAATGTTTTTTCTTTGGTTCAAAATAAATCTGAACATTGTTTATTTGAAGTAAATTTTAGAATCTCTAGTACTTGTTTATTTACTAAATAGATAATTGGTTCATAAGATTCTGGACATTGTCCTTCTTTTGGTGCCTGATGTGGAATGTCACTTATGAGCTTGATTCATCCATGTTATACCATTTTCTTTATAGGCTCTGATGCGACCTGGGAGAATTGATAGAATCATCTATGTGCCTTTACCAGATGCAGCAACAAGAAGAGAAATAATTAACCTACAGTTTAGCGGTATGCCAATCGGTAATGAAATTGACTTGGATGAACTCATCTTCCAAACAGATACATATTCAGGAGCAGAGGTAATGTAGTTCCCCCCAAAATATCCAAAATATCCTTGGTGGAAGGGAAACAGTAGCCTGGGTCATTAGCAATAAAAGACTGACAACTATTTTAAGTATTGTATCTTAGGATATTTTAATGGATTAAATATCACGTCTGACAGATGATCACTAAGTTAAATTGCATATTACCCAGCTCTTGTATCTCAATTGTTTCATACATAGCTTCTGTATTATTTTTCAAAATATAGTCTTCAAAAATTAGCATAATCTAATGGAAAGAAAAACTAGAAATCAGAAAAATCTGTGTCTCCTTTTACAGCTATTTTCAGCCAATCATGCATTTCTCCGCATTTTAATTTCTTTACCTGTCAGATAGAGTGTAACCATTGCTAATGTTCTCTCATTGCTATCATAGAAAAGAAATTAGGATATCATGAAAGCATCCTACAGTACAAAGGGCAAGGCAAAGGGATTGTATTATTATCATCTTTTATAATTTGGGGAATTTTTCTTAAACTGCTTGTATGTAAAGATTTTTCCCTAAAAATAGTAAAAGAGACACACATTCCATCTTTAACTGTGTAAATATACTCTAAATAGGAACATGAAAGACCTTTATAAAAAATTAAGAACCGCTTTAAGTTTGAAAAATAAGCATTTTCTTCTCCATCGCAGCCTTTTACTAAGGGTGATTTTACAAGGGTATCAAAAGTGTGTGGAAATTTCTGTTAACTTTTAATTCAATTTTTCATGAACTTTTTGAAGACCCTCCCTCCACACACACATATTTATAAATAAAAATTTTGTTAAAATAGCATGTGATTTTCTATTTGTATTTAAGATAGACTGTGTTCCATAACATAGAAATAGCTCTTGAATACACTGGTTTAATTTGCACTAGGGAATTATTTTTATTTGTGTAAGTAAGAAGTGGTAGACGCTTTCTTTATTCTGACTTACCCAACAGGCTAGGCTTCACATCCTATTTTGGTTGCTGGATTTCTTTTTCTATAAAATTAAATAGATTAATATATAACAAGTCATTAGTGGGACTTTCAGAATAATATAGGAACATTTAAATGTAAAATTGGACTTAGCTATGACTATGGCGTACACTGACAAAATAAAATAGCAACTCAGGCCTTTATCTGAAGATCTATAAAT